CAATATTTTTTTCCTAATCGAATTATATTTTCCTAGTCGAATTATATTTTCCTAATCGATGTATATTTTCCTAATTGAATTATTTTTCGTCAATGAATCTATTTTTGTGTTTTTTAATTTTTATTTAAATATTAAATAAAACCATAAAAAATTATATAAATTTATGGACTTTAATCAATAAATATTTTTAAATAAAATTCATAGCATATTTAATATTTCCATTCTTTTCCTAATCGAATTCTATTTTCCTAATCGGATTATTTTTCCTCATCGAATTATTTTTTCGCCAAGGAAAACAATTATGATTTTCAATTTTAATTGAAAATTGAAAAATCATAAAAATTATATATATTTATTTTATTTAATGAATAAAGCAATTTTGAATAAAAATCATAGCATTTTTAATATATTTTTTCCTATTTAAATAATATATTCCTAATCAAATTATTTTTTCCTAATCGAATTCGGATTTAAAAATATCGATTCTCCACATATTAATGATATCAAAAAGATATATAAATTTAGATATATTCATGGTTTTCAATTAAAAATGAATTTTGAATAAAAACCATATATATCTATAAATATTCATCATTAATTTAAAAAAAATAATCCGAAAACAATTTGAACACAATGATTCTCCGAGTTGTTTTGGAGGTTTCCCGAACTGTGGTTTCATGCTATTGCGAGGTGGAATGATCATTTAATAGATATTACTTGTGAGTTGAAATTCTGAAAATAAATCTATATTGAGTTGCTTTTAAAATATGCATAGAATATTGTGTTTTTAGATATTTGGATTGCGATTAAATGTAATTTTTGATTTATAATAAGTAATTTATTATCGTGTGTGGGTTGTATTAAAAGATTTTTTTTGGATGAATGATTAAAGAGTAATTCGGTGTTCTGAAGAATTATATGATATATTTTGAGGCGTTTAGTAATTTTAGAATAATTGGTTTTGTCTTAGAAGTAAATTATTTATTTTTTCTAAATTAAAATTATATTTGTAATATTTATAGCTTTCGGTATGCCGTCGGCCACCAGCTCCCGTATTGGTAGGTAGACTAATAATATTTATTAACAATTAAAATCGTAGATTGAAACTAACCGGGATAGCATAGGTTGTCGAAATATTCGTACGGAGAAATAAATCGTAAATTGAAACTAATTATAGATTGAAACCAATGGAAATTAACACAAACTAGACGAAGCAAAATCATCTACAAAATCAGGATTTGAAAATGAGTCTTCTTCTAAATTACTTGGCCTTTTGCATGTTTTCCTTGTTAGATCTTTTTATCGATTGTCTTGAGGAATTGCGAGTCGTAATATTTTTTTTTCATATATAGAAGGCTTGAAAGAGACCGAAGAATTTCTTTATTTGATATGATTTGCGTATTTTTTCTCTAAAACGTTCGATTGAAAGACCTAGAATGATATCGAACAACAATACCCTGCTTAATCTTACTTGTGGGTGCATTGGAGTTGCAGATTTTGCTGGGAGAGTTTGTTGATATTGATTTTAAGCGAAGTCGCTTTACAATGAAATGGAACGAATCCGAATCAGAGGTTGTCTATTCTGATCCAGCGATCTACCGATCGACATGTCTCAGTCCAATGATACCTATTCTGATCCAGCGATCGACATGTCTCAGTCCAATCACCTTAGGCGTGGAGAGGGAGGGGGGAGCATCAGGATGTCGAAAAATCCGCGCGGGGATCCAAACCGTAGATTGAAACCAACACGAGCAAGTTTTTCCTTTTTTATACTACATTTTAAATCAATATTATAATTATAGATATCATGTCGATTCGATATTTTTAAATATGGAAAAATGCGACCTTTTAAATTCGAAGCGGATAGCTTTAAAATGAATGAATTGAGAAATCGATAAATTATAGATGTTGGTTTTGTCGCTAATAAGGAATATGGATTTGATTTGTAATCTTTTTGTTATTTGTAATAGCATTTGTGGCGGATGACGAATGGGATTTAGGTTAATGTTTTAGATGGTAGAGCGTTGTTTTAATTATTAGAAGGTGTGGATGGTTATTTATTGTAGGTACTCGAAGTATTGATTTATAGATTTTAAAGCATTGGTTTCAAATGTTAAAGTTCTTATTTATTCAAAGATTATTGATTTTGTAATATGTTTGCATTAAGATTTTGATTCGGAAATAAATATATGGATTTTATTGTTGTTGTTCTTGACTATTTTGTCAAATTTTCCCGGTTAATTCGTTGTTATATAAACTAAGTTTTTGAAAAGTATCAGCTTAGAAATCAAAGCTAAAAAGAGATCAATCACAATGATTAAGGCGAACGGATCAAGTTGCGCTCCTGGAGCAACGTGTTAGCGGTTTCATTGTTTGTACCCACCATACTAAGCGAACAGCCTCCGACTCTAATTGATATGAAAATTTAAGTCGATTTAACATTTTGATAAAAAAAATATTTATACTTTTATTCTTATTTGCAATGTATAAATTCATATAAAAATCCTGAGCTTGAACCCCTATTAGGTTTGTATTTCGTTCGCACTCAACCAACACAAATCCATTCAGACAGTGCAAATCCATCCAGAACTACATTAAGCTCGGTCCTTTGTTCGAGAGGCCCAGCATATTCCTGAATACAATCAAAAATATATTGTACAAATTTTAATATTTTGGCCTCTGTTTCATTCGCCTGGCAAGGTAACAATCTCCCTGGGCTTTAGTTTCGCCTTCCAACCTGGTTACAAAACAAGTGGACAAACGCACGGTGAAAACCAGGAGGCAAACGACAAACAACACAAACCATCGATAGAAAAAGTTCTGGTATTCCATACCAACAAAATCCAAAATTGTAACCCCCGCAAGCAATTGCGTTTCTGCCGGCCACACGCCAGCGGCAAAATGGCTGCAGCAGCAGGACTGCCATGATAAAGAATTGAAAGTCGACCTAATTTAGGCACCATCAGAATGAATCTGTCTAAAAAAGAACCGTAAAATCTGATAATGCTTGTTTGCACTGAGCTGTCTTGCATTTGCCGACAATGGAAACACCGTTTTTGAAAATGCAAAGAGAACTCAAACAGAACGTTTTCAAAACATGCAACACAAAGCAGTGAATGTCTCAATGGCTTCGACAACACCTTTACCCGGCCATTTTCTTCTCCCACTCCTCGATGACTTTCCATTGCCTGAGCTGCCATGGGCATGCGGGACCCCTGCACTCTTTTAGAGGGTATATAGAAATTTTTTGAAAAGTGGAACTATTTGAAAAGTCAAGTGCCATCATCGCTCAGCGAAGGAGCACTACGGTTGGTTCATCCATCAGCACCAGCATAGTTGAACCACCAGCTTGCGCAATAAAGCTTTTATACAGCATGGGAGATGCAAGCCTTTAGCTGTGAGGCACCAAACCACGATTGATACAGGCCCGGTGAGCTTGAACACGAAAGACCGCTGCATTTGTTGCGCGCCTATGACATGATAGAGGACGGCGACTGCCCCAAGAAGGACACAGAGGAGTTGGAGCGGCGGAGGATGCAAGAGCTGGCACTGGCCTTGTGTGCGGCTGTGTGTATTGGTGTGTGTGTGGTGTTGTCTCCGTGTGTTGTGGTGTGTGTGTGATCTCTGTCGGTTGTTCTGTGTGTATTGTCTCAATGTGTGTTGTCTGTTCTCTGTGTGTGTTGCCTCGGTGTGTATGGTCTCTATATGTGTTGTCTCGGTTTAGAGGGAAGGCGGAGGCGGCGGGAAGCGGAAGGAGGAGGCGGCGAGAAGCGGAATAAAACATAGAAAAGACTGGACAACGAGTGGCCCGAAAGCATTTTTTGAGTTAAAGGTAGTGTGTGGGCCTCTGTGTGTGTGTGTCTCTATGTCTGCATGCGTATGTGTCTCTGATGGGTGTGTTGGATAAATTTAAAGAAATAACGCGCAGGTCTCCTACACCTTCACCGCTGCCCACCTGGCTCGTCGTGCCCGCAAGGGGAGAAGCAACGTGGACGCCCGCGAGGAAATCTCACTGAAAAAAAATTGAACTAGCAAGTATACCTACCATTGGATGCTTTTATTCTTCCACTTGCATTGGGGTACGTATAGAAGTGTGGTGTTCATATTCAACTGTAAATGTGGAAGCGTAAGTACTTAAATATACGTGTCGAAATGTCAATATTCAACTGCAAGTGTAGAAGTATCAACGTAGGAGTGTAAATCTAAAAATATCAATATTCAATAAATTTTCCGAACGACTTCGAAAAAAATAACCAAATTAAAATACAGAAAACAAATAAATAAAACTCAATAATATAACATCAACCACTCAAAACATATCAATAATACCACCAAAAAACGACACAAATTACAATACCAAAAAGAAATACAATAAAGAAACCAAAACTCGACCAAAAAAGAAAAAATATAAGAAAAAAATATACATAAATGCTTCAAAAAAATCTTTCCTTATTAATAAAAAAGACCCAAAAATAATCCCGTAATCAATGTGATCCAATATAATCGCATATTGCATTCAATTCCATACTACAACTATCTTCGAGCTCCCAACAATAAACAATTTCAATGTTCGATTTAATATCATACATAATATAAATAATACGATATTTCATTTAATCTACTTAAAGAAAAATTAGGCATTAAACCAAAAAATATTCCTAAATTAAAATAAATAAACATCAATATACCTATATAAAATACAAAATCATCGTACCAAAAAACGCAAAAAAAAATTAAACTAAAATCGATCCAAAAAGCAAATAAGAAAATTAATTACGCAAATCTTACGATATGATTAAAAACATTATAAATAACAATTACCTTTTTAATCATAAATCCATCCATAAAAAAAACAAAACAATTTCTTATATCCACACGCCATTCGACCAATATCAATTCCTTAATTAGAAAAAAATAATCCGAAAACAATTTAAAAACAATACAACAATTACATACATATTCATTAAAAAAATACATAAATCACTTATTCATTCATCTGCCGGCGAGCGGGTGATCTCGCCCGTGTTGGGCCGCGTGCTAGCACGGATGCTTCTGGGAGCATCATTGGCCATCGAGATGCAAAAGGGTTTAGTCGAAATGTGTGGAGATGAGCTTTGCCAGTGTAGCTTGCTGGAGCGTATGCAGGTTCGGCAAAGGAATGCGGTACTCCTGGCAGGTTTGAGCCCATGGTGCCAACCACAACATGTAAACCTCCTCATAGAAGGTTCGGTCCCGGACAAATCGTTGGCAGGGACGGTTGTCGTCACATTGCAATCCACTGCCTGAGTTGAAGAGCACTGCACGGTAGTGTCCGGAGGTCGGCTCAACTCCTGTGTGAAGTACGGCTGCAATCACCTGAAAGTCATGCCATGTCACGGAACAGTGGGATGCACCATCAAAGACCGGCAAGGAAATTCGATTATGCTCCCACGAAATGGCCTGAGCATGGCGGACACAAAGCGTTGGATACCGTTCCAATTGCAGGCATACGAACTGGCTTTGAGACCTCAGTGCGTTCAGAAAAGAATGAGCAGATCGTGATCCCTGCCATCCGAGGTGCTCGCTGAGGAGCTTGAGTTCCGCTCTCGCGGCTCCCGGCCATGTGTCGTCATTCCACCTGATGACAAGGCGGTCTTCTGGCGTTTGAGAAAGCCATCCGTGCAGGCCTCGAGCAGATCCGTGAAGGATTGATCGTCTCCGGTCTGATGTTCCATCGTGGCTCAAACTCAATTGAAGGTCACGATTTCGGGCCAGGATCTGGGCTATGCACATGATGACAGCTTTCACAAGAGGCATCTGGTCCCCAAGGGAATCATGGATGTACATGCAATCATATCGAATGTCAGGACTCTGCTCACAATCCAAGGTCCAGGCCCAGCATACTGGGCGTTGTGCTCGAAGGGCATGGATGGAACTGAATACCTGATCCGTGACAAAACAAGTGTGTGGCAGGGCAGGGAAATGTGCAAGCCAGTTGATCGGATATGATGTTGGGGCATAGAGCAGTGGAAACCAGCAATCAACAAGGTCTATGGTGGAGACGTGCAAATTGTGCCCAATCAAGCCGGGGTGGCTGAGGTCGAAGTACCTGTGCAGCAAAACAGGCAATGACGGGTCCATGTGGTCATCAACTGGAATTGGAGGTCCTGAATGAGAGCCAAAGTGCAATTTCCCAGCCCAGTCACAGGTGAGAACAGGGCAGGAGCTACGCTTGAAGTGGGTGACCAGTGCTTGTTCCATGGTGAACGAACTGTAGCAATGTCGACAGGTCAAGCTTCCAGGCAACATATCACGTTCAGGAACGAACTCGAAGGCATCCTGTTTCGTGGCTTGATGTTCACGTTTCAAATGAACCCACAAGGCCTTACGACCAACAGTTTCCTGACACAGGGGGCATTCATATTGCTTCAAAGGCGGATGAGGCGGTTCCTGTACAGGAGCTTGGAGCATCTGCTGGATCGTTTTCTGACGTCCGAGTTTCCTGATGTCCTGAGGGACCGGTCAAGATTGGTCCCTGCAGCATGATCCTGATTGAGGTGTTGGTCAAGTCCTGCAGGTGTCAGGAAAGCCATGTGACAGTGTTGGCACTTGTGTAGACAGCTGGTGTTCTTCGAGACTGTAGGTGAAGTCACGGGTGTATGATTGTCGAAACTACCAGGTGGACCAGGGACTGTGGTTGCAGGTGTCTCAGTTACCGGAGGGCGAGGCATCATGTCTGCATCTGCTTCTTCCAGTCGGTCTTCAGGATCTCCTTTCATCATGACTGGCATCACCGGAAAATGACTAACATCATATGTTTGACCAAGCATGATACTCAGTTGCATGAGGACTCCACACTGATGCGTGCGAACATTGTTGCAGGACTGATCACACAGAATGCAACTGCCTTTACCGCTTCCTAGGTTGGCCAAACCATAGACCTGTTCTTTGTGCAAAGGCTCAAAAGACAGCAGTTGGGCATGACAGTCGCGGTAATGTCGGCGAAGCGATCTAGCGGCAATGGCACTATGGCAGTAGGCACAATGGTTGGACAGTTCCTTCATCAAGGCCTTGTTGAGGAGAAGGCCGGGAATGCTTTTGTATCTGAGATGCATACGTAGGTCAGGTCGATCACAAATGGGCACAATCTGGTCCTGCAAGACATTAAAATGCAAACAAACTCGTTTGTTGATATGATCACGAAGTCGAAAGAAATCAGTGAAACGCTTGTGGCAATGTCTGCAAGTTGGGTACCCATTGGTGGTGTCCCGGAGAGGATTATAAAGATCTTCTTGAGTGCATGGGATTTGATGATGTTCCCTCAGGTGACGCTTGTACGGACCTGCCTGTGTGAATGCTCGATGGCATTCATGGCATCGGAGTACAGGGACCTGGGTACACGGATCAGTGTGTGATGGCGGAAAAGGAATGGAGGCTTCAGGATAATCTGGGACATGGACTCCGGCATCACTAGGCATGGTCGACATGGCTGATGTACGAAGGCAGGACCGGCGGTGACTCAAGGAATCAATCAAACGATCATAGTGTCGTTGAAGGATGTGCCATGGTGGAGACAAGCCAAGGCTTTGGAAGAATTCTTGAGTAGGGATTCGTGTGAGGTGAACAGGTGCATGTGCCATCGAACGAAGGTGCTTATTGATCATGCCAAAGATGGTGCTACTGCCATGTTGTGTGAGGCCCATTTCAAACACCCCATAAAGGACAGTGGGGAGAACACACTGACGGTACAATTTGATCCTGGTCTGCATTGGATGATGCTTGTCTAGGAGCCACCTCCGCAGAATTCGAAAGCATGTTTGGGCTGCAGTGAGTCTGCGTTTAGTAGTATCGACTTCCCATGCCCTATACGAGATGATAACTCCAAGATAGGTCGTTTTGGCAACCAGCGGCACTGTGATGGCCATGTCAGGCAGTCGAAGCATTGGGCCATTGGCCGTGCGACTAATCCATCTTTTCTGGAACGAAGGAAGGGCCTTCCCAACGAGTCGAATCAGTGCGAAGCTCTTATGAGAATTGATCTTTAATCCATAGGCGTTAAACACCCTCATCAGGAAGGATAGGTCGTGCATTGCGCGAAGTCCATCTGCTGGTGATCGGACAATCCAGCGCATGTGAAATCGTCTGCATACACTATCAGGTGGTTTAAGATCCAGTCGTGGTCATACTGAGCTAGTAAGTCGTGGAGGATGATGTACATCGTAAGGTTCCAAAAGAGCGGAGCATCCTTGGATCCTTGTTGAATGCCACCAGTGGCCTGGATTTTTCCCACTACTTCTTTGAAGGGGATGTAGTAAGTGTGGGGGGTCAACCACGAGTGTACTAACGATTGAAGGTCACTTGAGACCTCAAAGGCATGGAGAGCCCTGGAAACCAACTGTCTGCTGACCGTGTCAAATGCCTTTTCCATGTCCAACGAAATTTGGAGACCTCCCCAAAGACCTGCTTTGGCATCGTCTTTCCGATGAGCAGTGCAAAGCTCTCTCACCAATCTACAGTGATGGGACACTGTCAGAAGACACTCACGTGTTCCTCGGTGAGGCATGTACGCGTACATGGGCATCTGACTGAGAGGACCACGGGCCTGTTCAAGCAACAATCGACAATGAATGCTGGACATGACCTTATGCATCGGATGTTGAAGACAGATTGGTCTGAGTGCGGCTGGTTGATTTGGGGTTTTATTGGGTTTGGCAAGAAGGTGAAGCCAACCCACTGACCAATGTGACGGTGGAAGACTCTGGCTTTGGCACCATGCGTGTCTGATACATGAAAACATCACGGGTGTCAAAATGCTTGCGAAATGTCTCCAAATCAAAGCAGGAAAGCCGTCAGGGGCCAGTGCTTTCGTCACCGGAAGGTGTTGAAGTTCATGTAGGACATCAGCCTCAGTGAATGGCAAACTATTCAGAGCCGGAGGGATCATGATAGGTGCATGAGGGTCCGTGAACAAGTCCTGAAAGTATTGAGTCAGGCGCTCAAGTTCTTGGGCTTGGGACAGTGGAGCCCCATGCATGTCAAACATCTGAATCCGCCTGAATGAGTGCTTAGGGCACAGGGTACGAATCCGCTTATACCAGTCATGCAATTTGTTTTGAAGGACCAGGGGGACACTTTCAGCAAGAAAGGCATCTAAGCGGTGCTTGCGGTTTTGTCTGCTCTGACGTCTGATGGCTTTATGGAGCTTGTCGAATCGAATGACACAAGACCAGCCCTGAATCACGGCCTGCATGGAAGTTGAACGAAGGCGTAGTAATTGCCGTCTGGCATACCACATTTGAGCTGCCAATGATTTGACCTGAGAGCACATGGGACGAATCCGGCTTACTCGGGGGAAATGGTTCTGACACAGTTGTCTGATTTTCTGTTCAACTTGGATGCAGGTGGAGAGGGGGTCAACCGAATGAAGTTCAGTGGTGATAGTGCAAACTGTGTTCATGACTTCAGTTTCGAAGGTGAGCCAGTTCTCAGTCTGTGACTGATATTCGAGCCTCAGTCGATGGCGGTCGATCGAATTAATCGATGGGGGTTGACGGGGAGGTGCAAACCATTTTGGTAAGGACATAACAAGCGGATGATGGACAGGTGCACTGCTGCCAATCGTTCGTTCGAACTGGGTCAGTACCTGTGCACGATGTTTAGTCCATTGAACTTGGTGGCGACGAACGAACATAAAGTCGATTCGGCTCGAGTGGTCCCCATGTTGGAAGGTAGGTTTCCACTGATGTTGACAGTGAACAGCAACCAGGTCCAAATCACGAATCATGGTTTGAAAGTCCTACTTATCACATTGAGAAGCCATGCCATATTTGGGATCACGTGAATGCACATGTGGTACGTCAGCGATCAGAGGTGTGTTGCAATCACCTACAAGCAACAACATGTGACTCTTAGGAACATAAAGAATATATTAACGGATGGCTTCAAAGACCTAAAGTCTATCATGGAGAAGGATTTGACGTTCCTTCGATGAACTCCACGAGCGCTAATAAACACAAATAAAATCGTAGATTCGGGAAAGATGTAATCGAATATAGATGAGCCGGCCTAGGCACAATTCACTCCAAGCAAGTTAATCTGGTCGCAACAATCGTCTACGGATCATGCAGAAAACGGTGGCTCGATAGCCATGGAAATGCAGCATATACCAATCACCAGAAACCCATTAATCGCTAAATCGCCAACCAATTTCTTGCAGGATAGCAACATCATACGAAGTCTGAGTAAGCCAAGTCACCCATTCATCCAGTAGGAGCCCGTTAAAAGCGTTCCAACAAAATATATTCAAGGAGTCGGTTGTCCGGATCATCGATGTGGAGGATCCCACCTTCGTAACTAGGATATTAGATTCGTGAGTCAGCTATTGTCGAATCTAGAAGGGGATGTTGGAATACCAAAAATCCTTTCCACGATATTATGTGCATCCGTATTTGTATGCTCGTTTACATGCTCGATGAAAGCTCATCTTAATTCTTTTGCATCTGGATAGATCCACAATTAGGCCGTAGCCTAATATTGCCCAAACCTCGTACATTTTCGTGTCAGGTCGTTAATAAATCGGCAAGTCGATGACACTCTCACCACCAAGCGAGGCCCTAGTAATAACCCTCGCGCCAGGCATAAATTAACCATCTTAACTAAATGGAAAGGATACCATACCCCCAGGATTTGGGACCTAGTATCTCAGCAAGACAAATATCCAAATCAATGTCAAAGGCAGCCAGCAAATCTTCATTAAAAGATTCCAGAATAATCGTGATCTCAAAAAGGAGATAGAAACATATACACGGAGAAATACGAAAATGGCTGCCGGACTTAAAGCTAAGATGGCGCTTTAAATCACTTATAAAACAAAAAATAAATTATCGATTATTTATACTTACATAACAATAATATTAAACTAAATATCGAAAATAATAAAAATATAAGCCTCAAATTCAAGCGTATCCACCTCAATTTAAAATAATATAAATATTACCTATAATAGTACTATTAATTTCCATTATACTATCATAATATATTTCATTTATTTTCAAATTTATCAAAAATTTATAATTTTTTAATTAATTTTAAGTATTTTATAAAATATGTTAATTTCCAAACAATGAACTTGTAAATTATACACTTTAAAGATCATGCCGCTTCAAAATAATCTGCCTAGCAAAAGCACGTTCTCAAAATTATAAAAGGAACAAAAGTGTGAATTCGACCTTCACTTTCCGCGCGAGGAGATAGCCGGAAGAGGTTGACAACGCGCAATTCACAGCCTCCCAACTCTTCAAAGAAAACGCGCAATGCATGATTCAATTCTCGAGCCGACGTTCAGTTGGGGCTGAGCTTCCAAACAAAAAGGCTGTAGTTCACAGGCGTAATCACCTCAGCAAAAAGGCTGATAAAGCATATCTTAGAAGAAACGATGTCGCACAGTTAAACGACTGGGGGCCAAGTGATCTTACGATTTGGCAAACAAAAAACAAATTTTGTCTTGGGTTTCCAATCTTGCCTTGTCTAAACGCAGGAAATTCGAAGAAAGCGATCGCATTTGCCATCATCACGTGATGAATTGTACGGCTGTGTGCACTGGAAGCAGCATGAGCAGCGCCAAAAGTGGAACATCAATCAGCTATGGCCTTGTGTAATGGTTGGGTGCAATGTCTGAGGCCACTTCACGCACGCTCAATTAGTCCAGTGCGCCTTGTATGGGTGGGCTTTAGTTGCTTCGCTTAGCCTGCAGTTTCCATGCTTAGTCCTGCACCGCCGGTCTTTTGCGAGGCCTTCTGTGAATCTTGCGCTCTGTCTAGCAGATGTTAAAAGGCAACGCTCCTAGAAACAAAGACGCTACTAGGGGCTCCAAGCACGCTACTAGGGGATCCTGGCCGTACTAGTAGGAGCAAGGTCGCTACTAGGGGCCCCTGCCTTATCACTGAAGCAAGAAGCTACTAGAGGCTCCTGGCCCTGCTACTACGAGTAAGAAGCTACTCGGGGCTCCTGGCCTTACTACTAGGAGCAAAGACGCGACTAAGAGCTCCTGGCCTTACTACTAGGAGCAACGACGCGACTAGGAGCTCCTGGCCTTCTAGGGGCCCCTGCCTTATCACTGAAGCAAGAAGCTACTAGGGGCTCCTGGCCCTACTACTGCGAGCAAGAAGCTACTAGGGGCTCCTGGCCTTACCACTACGAGCAAGGACGCTACTAGCAGCTCCTGGCCTTACTACTAGGAGCAAAGACGCTACTGAGCTCCTGGCCTTGCTACTAGGAGCAAAGACGCGACTAGGAGCTCCTGGCCTTACTACTAGGAACAAGGACGCTACTAGGAGCTCCTGGCCTTACTAGAAGCAATGTTCGCTACGAACGGAACAAAGGGCATCGCTGTTAGTCCGGAGCAAAGGGCATCGCTACTGGTTGTACCTCACTGCAGCGCAGCAGTCCAAGTCATGCAGCGATGAGTCTTTTGGTGAGAAAGCCACCGGCCAGGACGAAGACATCAGACGTCAGGTGCGCTTGCAGGAGCAAAAATGGAAGCTGCTTCGCAACTGGCCAAATCAGCCAGAGAAGCCAGTTGCCCGAGAAATCCGTTTGCATCCTGGCTTAGCTTTGCATCCCGAGAAAAACTGCTCCACAATGAACTTTGCATTTCTCCACTTCCATTCCTTTGCCGGGATTGTTGTTGTCTCATCCCCAAGCGCCGAGAGCCGCTTTGGGGTGGTAGAATCCAAGAACGCTGGAAATCGAGGTCAATGCTGACCAGGCCCCCGTACGAAGGACCAGCGCATAAAAATGAGACCCGTCAAGGTCAATGCACTTGTCCTCACTGTCTTGACGCTTTGAAAGCAATTTGCATCAACCGAAGAAAAGGAAAAGACCGTAAATGAACCTCAAGTCACTGGAGCGCCCAGCATTGATAAGCTGATCTTGTCAGTGGGCCGATCATAGTCCTCAAAATGTCTGCTTTATTTACTGTGCAAGTGTCTCTGCTGTCAGGTTTCATTAGAGCCTTTTGCTGCTTTGAGTGTTCTGCTCTCTTCTTGCCTTTGCAGGGAAAAAGCAAGGTTCCCACCATGAGATTGTTGATTGAGAGTGCCCACTTGAAGTTAGGAGCCTCACGCGGTGTCAAACATCTTCAGTGACCATCAATGTCATTGAACCAAATATGTATATGAAACAATCCAGCTTTCCATCAAATGATTAAATTCACTAAAAATCTAGGAACCAAATGAATAGTGCGAGCGCTTCTTCAAGGAAGCTATCCTGCGTCCAGTAGGTAGTAGCTTACTAGTAGCTAGTAGTTTACTCCTGAGGGGGTAGCGGGCAAAAAACAACATTCCGCTCAGCGAATTTCCCTCAGAGTTCGCTGACCCAGAAGTGAATGTAGAAAGGCCCAGCCTCGAATAACGCAAGTTATGCACAGCGAACACTTTTGGCCATACTCAAACTGGTGGAAGAGTTCCTTTTCTGTTTCAACATCTGCCAGGTGTTGGTGATGAGTGGCAGGCAGGGTGTGTGGCCATTCGTGCCAAGAATCCGCTGCCCCTAGCCGGCTAAAGACAACCCCATCAATCCTTTCCTCCGGTTTCTTGCCCCTTTTTGTCTCGTCTTACCTCATGGCAAACAAATAAATTGAAACGTGACTCAGGCACATTTCAGAAAGAAAAGGATAACAAAAAGAGAATGAGATTAGAAGGAGAAGAAAAACGTTGTCAGTCCTTCATGAATCCGGAGATAATGATTTCAGTGATGAATGTCGGACAGCCACTACCACATGCGCTCAAATCGTACCGGCAGGACCCCTTCAAGCTGTTCTGGAGAGGCCTAAGACACGAGAGACCAGGACAGCCTTCATTTGTAGGTCCGTGCGCATAATCTGTACTAGGAGCAAGGACGCTACTAGGGGCTCCTGGCCGTACTACTAGGAACAAGGGCCTGACTACTAGTAACAAGAAGCTAGTAGAGACAAGAATTAGTAATTAGAATTAACTTAAATTAGAATTAATTAGAATCTGTAGTGCGGTCAGGAGCCCTGTTCGTAGCGTCCGATCGCTCCTAGTTCTTTGCAAGGATGGAACGTGCTTGCAGCAATCATCGCTCCGATGCCTTAGAAAAATTCCACAAAGCACACACAAGTGCCAAACAGTGACACCAGCTGCTCACCAGCTCTTTGCTTTTGCCTTTGCGTCTCTTTTTTGACGATGTTTTCTGGCCTGCTGCTGCACCAGCTGCCATCAAACCAGCGTTTCCTCAATTCCAAAATCATTTAAGCCGGCCTACAAAAACAAATCAAAACTTAAAGCGCTTTCGACATGCGCTGAGCTTGGAACGCACTGTGCTTGGGCCAGTTTCCGGCTCAGAAGCCATCTTATGCTCCGCCCACCTGTGTGCTCGAAAAAGTTTGCGGAGAGTTGTCGCAAGGCCATGGATGTTCTTCATTGTTCCTAGTAGCGATGCCAGGAGCCCCTAGTAGCCTCTTGTTCCCAGTAGCGATGCCAGGAGCCCCTAGTAGCTTCTTGCTCCTAGTAGCGATGCCAGGAGGCCCTAATAGCTTCTTGTTCCTAGTAGCGATGCGAGCCCCTAGTACCTGTTCCTAGT